ATGTTTTGGTCCTTCAACCATGTAGTTAGTCATTGCTTGTGCTATTTTATGACCCAATCATCTGAACGAACATTTCTCTCCGCCATAATGATAGTCAAGTGTTCATCAATGTACGGTTGCATCAGTTGTGTACTCTGCAAGACACTATAATGCGCCCGACTCACCTCTTTGTAATCATGGTCGATGAACACTTTTCTACCACTAGTGTCCTTCCCAAATTTTATCCTTATGACGAGAATCGGGTTTACCAATCCCTTCTCAGACTTTTAGATACTCTTGACAAAGACTCGATGACTTCTTCAGTACTGTAACCCTCTATCATGGAACCCTCCGGGTACGCTCGATTATGCACGTATCGACTTAGAACCGATATGAACCACTCATAGGACCACATTTCATGCAAGTAGCAAGGGCCCAGCGCCTGTATCTGATAAACCATGTGAATCATGAGATGTGGCATTATATCAAAAAAAGCAGGAGGTAAACACATTTCTAGTTGGTTTTGTGTCTCTACCACAAATTAATGTAGGTCACTCAGCTCTTGCTTGCCAATCGTCTTCTGTGAGATCTTCGAAAAGAAGTAACATATGCGGATGATGGCCATTTTCAAGAACTCTGGCTTTATAGCCCTGATTACAATAGGTAGAAACACTGTCAGCACCACATGACAATCGTGAGCCTTGCAGAGTGTTATTGACAAGTCCTTCATCGACACTAGCTTCTTCACATTCGCTGAAAACCTAGTCGGGACTTTGACCCCCCTCAGGAAAGTGCATATAGCTTTCTTCTCTTCTGGTGTTAGGTTGAAGCACGCCGCGGGCAGAGTGTATTTTCCATTAGCATTAGGTACCGGGTGAAGCTGTGGCATCACGTTTAGCTGCACCATGTCTTTCCGTGATTTCAGACCATCCTTCGACTTGCCTGTGTCCATCAAGGTAGCAATGAGACTCTCAAAGACATTTTTCTGCACGTGCATAGCATCAATGGCATGGGGGACCTCCAAGTCTGGCCAATAAGGCAGATACTAAAAGAAGATCGATTGTTTCTTGAAAGGTACGCCTTTGTCAAGAGGTGTGCTTCTATCTCTGTGTTGTCCCGTCTGGATTATTCTTTCCATAGATGACGCTTATATTTTTCACCATTCTATACACGTGTCTCCGTTATGATGTCTCTTCGGAGGGGGTTTAATCTTCAGTGTGTTGTCATAAAATCTAAAGAACAATTTGATGCGGTACTTGTGACTTGTCTTTAAGAAGCACCGGTTCCTTAGGTAAACTATCTTCTTGGATGCATCCAGGAACACCCATATAGTACCATCCAAGCAAACCAAGCATCCCGTCTTCCCTTTGATCTGTCCAGACAAAGCAAACAGTGCGGGGTAATCATTGGTAGTAACAAATATTATTGCTCTACATATAAAGTCCTCCTTTCGGAACACATCGTACATCGGCTCCCCATGCCTCCATAGCCTCTTCATTTCTTGCATCAAAGGCTCGAGGAACACGTCTATATCAATGCCTAGTTGTTTAGGGCCAGAAATAAGAATAGTGAGGAGAAGGTACTTTCTCTTTTAACACAACCACGTTGGGATGTTGTACATGGTCAAGATCACTGGCCAAGTGCTGTGGTCGCTCATCCTCTCATTGAAGGGATTCATTCTATCGGTGCTCAAGCCAAACCGTACATTCCTTGGGTCATCGCTGAATTCTTTGTGCTTCTCATCGATCCTTTGCCACTGACTACAATCAGCCAGGTGTGCAATCTTATTATCATCCACCTTGCGCTTATCATCCCACCATGTCATGAGTGCGGCTTCTTTAGGGTTTAGGAAGATACGTCTCAAGCGGTCGGTCACTGGCAGGTACCATATTACCAAGGCAGGAATTCTTCTCTGCTTTGCATCGTTGCCTAATAGAGTGTCCTTTGGGGGCTGAGATTCTTGTACCACTTTTTTGGTACCCTTCTTATTCCTCTTTTTCCCCATGGAGGTTTCGTCCCCACTGTAAAGGTCATTGTTCTTGTACCGGCTGGCCCCACACCGAGGACATTTATTCAGTGACTTGAACGTTTTGCCATGAAAAAGAATACAGTGGTTGTGGCATGCATGGATTTTTTCAACCCCCATTGTCAATGGACTTATGACCTTCTTCGCTTGGTATGTGTTGGCGGGAACTGAGTTTGATTGTGGCAGCATCCATGACAGGAGACGCAATAGATCATTAAAACTACAGTCTGACCAACTGTACTTAGCCTTCAGGATGGGTAGCTCAAGCACAAAATGTAGCAATGTCCAATATGTCGGACAGCCCTTTTCAACACCATACATAGTCTCCTTCGATGCTTTTGTCACCCTTTCCAAATTTTCTAAACTTTTCGGGTTCTTTAGTAAAATCTCTGGTCCAAGGGCTCGAATCATGTCTTCCAAATCATCTTCATCCCCGACACGTGCACCACCATCATTATTGGCACCACCTTCGTCTTTACCATCCCAACCACCAGCATCACCACCTTGTTCATTGCCAAACTAGGGATTCATTCGTGCATCAAGCTCTGCTGAATATTGGGACAGGGATTCTAGGGTTTCGTCGTCGTATTCCTTCTCATCCTCGTCTTTAACAGTAACCATTTCATCATGATGAATCTACACTGTGTAGTCCTCAACAAATCCTCGCATAATCAAATGTGATATGATGATAGTCATATCTGTCCATGCCATACGGTTCTTGCAATCTTTACACGGACAAATAATTATATCCTTATTCTCTGTCAACGTCGTTGTATGTTTCTTTGCGGCTTCAATAAATTTATCCATATCTTCACGGAAACCTGCTTTGAACCTTAACGAACCATACATCCAAGAGTTCTTGTACTCCATCTTTTACAACAACAACAAAACAAACATTAAAGGACTATTTATTCAGATATATATAAAAATAAATCAAATTAATAATTACTTGAGAATAATTGTATATACTTAAGATATATATGAATATAAATCAAATATAATTACATGAAGCATACAAACACACCATGGTACAAGAAAATTAATTAATGGTCCATTTATCCATAAATAATTAAAATACATATTTGTTGATTACAATAAACAATTTTAAAGACAACAATTAACAACAATTATAGTTTACCCAATATCTTTCATGCAAACCCTAGTCCAATTTCATCAAACATAAATTTACAAAAATAAAATTAATAAAAAAAATTCAAACCCTAGATCTAAACCTACATGCACATGAAACATACATAAAACTAACTAATTATTCACTAAAATCAAGAAACATGGACCAAATAAAGGTATGATCTTGTTCTCCTACCTAATTTACCATAGTACATTCAAAACTTGGGTCTAATTTGCTTCATAAATAACTTAAGCACCATAGAAAAGAGAGAAAAGCAAAACTCTAATTACTCACTAACCAACCATTAAAACTTCAAAAAAAAGTGTGGAATAGCATTTTTTTACCTTCTACAACCTCTCCACCAAAGAATTTGAGACCAAAACCTTCCCTCTTAGTAGAGCAATTTTTGGGAGGTGCCCAAGGCTTCCCCACCTTTTTTTTACAGGTTAGTGTGAGTGACCCGAGGAGAAAGATGGGGGTTGCAGCCACTTATACAACGGACATTTGTAGGGACAACTGGTGATTGAGCCGCCTCTACAAATCAAATAGTAGGGGCGGCTCGTATCACCAGCCGCCTCTACTGTTCGATTTGTAGGGGCGGCTGGAATCATGGGACCTGAGCTAACCCACTGTAGGAGCGGTTGTTAGTGGAGCCGCCCCTAAAAAAAAAAAGCCCCGTTGCTAAAATTTGTTTTTGTAGTAGTGCACGAAACCACCACCAAGCACTGAAGTCGGCCGAAGCATGATGCATGCTATGGCCTCCGCACCCTAGCGCCACGGCCACCCGCTAGGAACTACCAGCAGCGACATGACACCGGTAGAGGCCAACACACCTCCACCACACATGGAGCAGCCGAGCCAACGACACAGGCTAGGCGAAGAGGTGGAAAAACCGCCGCTAGGAGGAGGACCGCGGCGAGGAGGCTCCAGACTGGATGCCCCAACATCTAGACACCACCCTAGGGTTATATGCTCCTTAGCACGATGACTTGCATGTGCGCCATCACCGTGGCCAACAACAATCAACACATGTTGTGCCGTCACTGCTTCACGCAGCCGGTAGACGTCGACAAGGCCGTCCTGGCAGCGGACTCGTGGAGGAGCTACGCAAGTGGGCCCATGCTCGGGCCCAGGTGACGCCACATGTCCGCACCATGGCAGGCACCTGTTGACGTGCCTCCGCTACCTGGCCATCAACAACAGGAGCCAACCGGGAGAACGAATCCACGCCACACAACCTCCACCCTCGACCCTAAAAAAAACCTCCACCCTCCATTGATCAGGGCTCCCCCGCACGGATCTAGCTGCCGGAAGCACAAATCTAAATCTAATTAAAGCATGCACTGATCGAGAGATTTGAGGTTAGGAAAAGAGTAGATGCGGTGAAGAAGGAAGAACACAGAGGGTAGCCTTCTTGAGCCCCCCCCCTGTTGGCCGCACTGTTGATGTCGAGGAGGCCAACTAAATCTTTCTACTAGTATCTCAATGTTTCTTTTTTCTAAAAAAAAATTCAAACTTTTTTTTTATCAATTACGCATGCCTTTTACCTAACTCCAACCAAATTTTGAAGTTTTTTGTTTTCATATCAATTACATATGCCATTTAACCGTAGTAGCTCACAAAACATATTTCCTAGTATTCCTTCCATGCCAGTGTGTGTGTGGGTGTGTGTGTGTGTGGGGGGGGGTATAACAGTGCGCGAAAGGCAAATGCCAGCAAATATTTTCTATTCCTAAACTGCGAGTTAAACAACCCACTTTTCCTATTCCTATATACACAAATTTCAGTTGGCAGAATCCTAATACGATGAAGCTATGTACAAGCCACTATTCCTCTCCAGCTCCAGACCAAGCTATTCTTGCACCTCTAGTCATAGTGCTCCACAAACTGCACCGGCTCCGCGAGATACGAGCAGTCATCATCCCAACCGCAAGGCCGTCCACTGAAGTCCTCGACGTCGAAGCCAGCCACGCCCTTGTCTGCTTCTCGCCGGTCCATTTCAGCTCCTGGTATCGCGTCCAGCTCGTCCCACACATCATACCAAATACCGTCCATCTCCTGACCATTCAACTCAGGCCCAGGTTCCTGTTTCGCGGCTGTGCCACCATCGCTGCTACCCGCAGAGACGCCAGCCGCCACTGTCGCAAACGCAACTTCGGTGCTACTACTCAGTGGCAAATCGCCGTGCCGATGTTCTTCGTTTTCCATCAGCCGCTGTCGTTTGGAAGCGCCGCGTAGCTCTTTCTCCTTGGCATAGTTGAGCAGGACCTGTTGCACGAAGGCTGGGTTGCTGAGCACCTTTGCGAAGATCAAGGCGATGGCCCGCTGCTGGTTCCTCTCGTTGTTCAGGATCCTCTCCTCCAAGGCCACGAGTTGGGATTTGCAAATGCTGTACTGCTGCCTTAGCGTGATGACTTCAGCCCTGAGCGCTGCGTGGTCTCGTTTCAAACTCTCGACCTCGCTGGGATCCTTTGGCGGTCTGGAAGCACGCCTCCTCTTGATATTTTTCAGCAAATGCTTCTGGCCTGCTAAGAAGGATTCGTTTGCAAACTCCCAACGATCCGGATTCACCTTCCTGAATCCCTGCACAACAGGAACAGAGCCATTAGCATTTATGCAAGAAGTAACACAACACAATCAACCTTTCACTACCAGCATTTGGTCAGCGTGGCCAGGAAGCCAAAGTTATATGAGAAGAGATTTGAATACAAAGTGTTCTTAACATTTTTTTCTATGAGCCGAGCTGACCAAATGCATAATTGCAATATGTAATTGGGGTAAAAAATAGAAAACAACAAAAAAGAAGTTAAAATGGCATTGCAATTTAGCACACAAATCAACCAAAGGGATCATAATACACTGCACTATGAAATTACTTGCCATAAAAAAATTAAGGCCATAAGAACAAAGGAAGTGTCCTGCAGCTCATGGAAATTAAGGCCACATACATACTGCTAGAAAATAACAGAGCTCAACATCATCAGAAGGACAAACAAAAACAACAAATTTCAGTTAGATCAAGTTTCCATCACCTTTTGCTTTTTAACTGCTAAAAGTTGGACAGGTCATGAGGTTCAGTACTTCAGAGCAGTGGAATAGAATTTGATTATGACATACCAACTGCTCGGACACTTTAGTCTCCAGCAGAAAGCACATTATCCTCTTGGTTTTAGCGAATATATAACACAAGTATCTTATATCGCAATGGAAGTGTTATGGCAGGTGGAGCCGGCCTAGGGGCCCACGCGGCACTGTAGCCGCATGAACAGTACCAGATCCGATTAGATTGATTTGGTTTGTTATGAAAGGAATAAGGTCGCCGGGTATCGATATTAGGGATACCCAAAGCAAATAAGTTAGCACCCATGCTGACTTTCCCGGATGACTCGAGATGTATTAAAAGGTCTCGCCCGACTCCTTGCGTGTGGGCTCCGTCTCGCCCGACCCTAAGGACGCGGGTTCCGTCTCGCCTAAGGCCGCGGGCTCCGTCTCGCCCGACCTCGAGGCCGCGGGCTCCGTCTTGCCCGACTTCGAGGCCGCGGGCTCCGTCTCGCCCGACCCTAAGGACGCGGTTTCCGTCTCGCCCAAGGTCGCGGGCTCCGTCTCGCTCGACCTCGAGGACGCGGGTTCCGTCTCGTCCAACGGGGACCCATACCGCCGTCAGCCACTCCAGGTCCAAGCGTATGGGCCTGTGTCAAAACTCTGACGCCAGGGAAGAGGCTGGCGCGCCTCGATGTAACCCGTGGCCATGACGGGCCATACCTGGGGATTCATATCAAGAAACGATGGTCGGGCGTGCGGTGTCTCTCGTCATAATCCTCGTATGGACCCGACAGCGTGTCGATTCACCACGACGTCCACGAGAGACGGTCAAGCGCCATGATCCGTGGCGCTGCGATGGTGCCGAAAACTCCGTGACATGGAGCCGTCCCTATTGACATCTACAGGATCGGTGGGACCCGCATGAAGGGGAAGAAGAACCCGGCAACCCTGTAAGCCTTCTTCTCTCTCGTTCTTCTCCTTTTACTCCTTTGTAACCCGCGCTTTCCCTTCACCTATAAAAAGGGAAGCAGGACGCCCTATGAAAAAGGGGGGATCTTTGACACAAGAGCACGACACGAACACACGGCTGAGCGGCAAGCGAGTTCTCAGTACCCGTTCACTCCTTTCATCATAGACATGGGTTCCTCTTCCTCTCTCGCCTGTTTGTAACCCCTACTGCAAACCAAGTGATGGTAACACGAGCAACAGCGAACTAGACGTAGGGACGTTCCGCCCGAACCAGTATAAACCCTTGTGTCCTCCGAGCACACCATCCGAGCCAGACGCGTAAATATAAATTTACTCGTCGGTGGTCCCAAAACACCGACAGTTGGCGCGTCAGGTATGGGCTTTTTACGCGTCTCAACGTCCACATCAGGCCTCGGATAGCTAGTCACGGCGTCAGCTGGGTCCCGGATGCGCACGTGCGCTTCGAGAACCTAGACTTCATCGTTACGACGAAGGAAGAGTTGGCGTAGCTTCCCGCCGCCATCCAGCCTCTCCACTCCGCCGGCCTCGACGCGATCGTCGAGACGCTTGAGGAGCTACAGCTGCACACACCGGAGGCCCGCACCCCCGGAGCGACCAGCTCCTCGGCTTCGATTACTTGAGGCTAGAGCGCTAGCTCGGCGCCTTCCTGGGACCCCGACCGTCCCGGGAGGACCAGCGTCACGTCACCTTCTCGTTTGTCAATGTCATGACGCAGCTTGCCGGAGGAGAGCCGCTCTCCCTAGAACACCTCATCTGGAGCACCCTAACAGCGCTCTCGTTTGGTTTGCGCAACACCGCAGAGACCGTTGGCCACCTTATGGCGCAGCGCACGCCCCCATCCCCTACGAACGACGAGTTCGTGGGGATGACCGAATACGTCGTGAAATCTTTCCTCGACCTTCTCGTGGGAGAATCGGAGTTGCCCTCCAACTCTGACTCCAGTAGGAGGAGCCATCACCCCTCACGAGAATGTTTCATGGTAGGTACCCCCGAGGGATACATCGAAAGCATCCACGAGGGAGGGGCTACCCCAACGGACGACCTCGACAACGAGGTCGAGGGGGATGCAGGGGCCCCACCTCGCCTACAGGTAGAGCAAATAAGGGCGCGGCACCAAGAGCTCGAAAAAGCACGACTCCAGCTCGAGCAGGAACGCGCAGAGCTCGAGCGAGAGATCGAGCGCCACGGAGATGGTGGGCGTGTGTGCGCTGTGGCCCGCGACGTGAACCGGAGGATCATCGAGGACGACGAAGCCCTCCCACACTTCGCCTAGGCAAGCCAGAACATCGCTGCCGTGGCGACCTTGCTTCGGGGGCTTCCGGAGCCGCGACACCCGAGGATCGTCGGGCCCATCGCGAGATTCGCACGCTACTCGAGCGTGCGGCGGCACAGCAGGCCTAGAGCTCGCTGTCCTGACGACGCGAGCTCGACGCCAGCCAGCGCGCACCCTCAGAGTGACCCAAGAGGGACGTGTCAATCCACTAGGCGCAGCAATGCGGTAGGCCACGCGCCGCGGCCCCGCTGCATGAGCCTCTCGGCCTCCACCGTGACGCGCGCAACACCCTCGATGCCCGCAGACGTGCTCGCGGCGATGAGAGGGAGGAGGCTAGCCACGGCTACCACCCTCATCATGGCGGACGCTACGACAGCGGCGAGGACCGAAGCCTGAGGCCTGACTTGCCGAGACCTCAGGCCTTTGGCCGACACATCCTCAGCGCCGTCTTCCCACCGCGGTACTAACTGTCGACCAACATCCCAAAATACTCCGGGGAAACAAACCCCGGACTGTGGCTCGAGGATTATCGGCTTGCTTGCCAAGCCTGTGGAGCAGATAATGACAATTTCATTATCCGCAACCTTCTATTATTCCTGACCGATTCGGCGCGAACGTGGTTGAAACACCTGAAAGGTCCAAATGGCTAGAGGGGGAAGGTGAATAGCCTATTAAAAATTTCTACAACAACACTTAACAAATCGGTTAGACAAATATGAGACGAAACGAGTGTTGCACTAGCATACTAAAAATACAAGCCACCTACCACAATTCTAGTTTATATAGTCTCTATCCACACAATGGCTATGTCACTATACTAAGTTAGTGTGCTCTCAAATGCTAACTAAAGAACCACACTAATCAAACTAACAGGCTCTCACGACTAGCTACACTAAAGAGCTTGACGACTAGTTTGCGGTAATATAAAGAGAGAGTGAGCAAAATGGTTATACCGCCGAGTCGAGTAATAAACCAATCAATCCCAAGAATGAATACCAATAAAGATCAATCACCTCGAAATCAAATGACACAATAATTTTTTATCAAGTTTCACTTGCTTACCGGCAAGCTAGTCCTCTATTGTGGCGATTCACTCACTTAGAGGTTCACGTACTAATTGGCATCACACGCCAAACCCTCAATAGGGTGCTGCACAAACAACACAAGATGAGGATCACACAAGCCACGAGCAATTTACTAGAGTACCTTTTGTCTCTCTCGTCGGAAAAGATCAAGAACCCTTCACAATCACCACGATCGGAGCCGGAGACACTCACCAACCTCCATTGGACGATCCTCGCTGCTCCAAGCCGTCTAGATGGCGGAAACCACCAAGAGTAACAAGCAAATCCCGCAGCGAAACACGAACATCAAGTGCCTCTAGATGCAAACACTCAAGCAATGCACTTGGATTCTCTTTCAATCTCACAAAGATGATGAATCTATGATGGAGATGAGTGGAAGGGCTTTGGCTAAGCTCACAAGGTTGCTATGTCAATGCAAATGGCTAAGAGAGTGAGCTTGAGCCGACCATGTGGCTTAAATAGAAGTCCCCACAAAATAGAGCCGTTGGCTCCTTAGTTCACTGAAAAATCGGGGACGACCGGACGCGCCGGTCAGATTGACCGGACGCAAGACCCCAACGTCCGGTCGCGCGATGCACGTCATGTGGCCCCTACTTCAAAAGCTGATCGCCCGATCTCAACGGTCATCAGTATACTTAAGTTGTGATCGGACGCACTGCTCAAAGTGACCGGACGCAGGACTCCAGCGTCCGGTCATTTCCAGTAAGGTTCCACTCGCGACCGGACGCGTCCGACCGGACGCAGGACCCTATCGTCCGGTCACTTCCAGTAAGCATCCAGAGGTGGAAATTCGCCACCGAACGCGTCCGGTCGATCACGATCGGATGCAGCACCAGCGTCCGGTCCTTTCTCTTCTTCTCTGTGCTACCACGTCAGCGGGACCGGACGCACCCACTCAGTGTCTGGTCACGAAGTGACCCAGCGTACGGTCGAAGACTGATGCCAGCGTCTTCACTACTTCTACTGACCGGACGCGCCGGTCCAGTTGAGGCCAGCGTCCGGTCCACTCTGTGAAACCCTGTCTTTTCTGTGCAGGGCGCCGGTGAAGTTCCGAACCCTTGCTTCCAAGTGCTAAACACAATGTGTATCACCTTTGTGCATGTGTGTTAGAATATTTTCACAATCATCTTCAAGGGTATTAGCACTCCACTAAATCATACATGCATATGCAATTAGTTAGAGCATCTAGTGGC